ATGCATCCACATTCAGGGGTGTGTTCAGTGGAGCACGTGGGCAGAAAAAGGAGATGGGTCATGTTAGGTAGGAACCGTGCCAGAGGTCTCAAGGAGAATCGTAAGGAATCACAAGTGTTGAAAGTGATCAACAAAACAGGACTGACAGCATTCTGCAATAAACTTCAGGTTTGTTGTGTCAACATGAATAGTGTAAAAATGTCCATCATTGTTGGAAGCACTTCAGGTTTTGTTGGGCAGGTCTTGGCAGCAGTCACGGCTGAGCTCAGGTGTAATGACATGTAATAAAAAAACAACTTGGCTTGTGTCGTAAGGCCCTCCTTTCCTTTCTGCTTGACTCCAAAGTCAGCTTTTAAAGTATAAGGTGTTGAAACAGCAGCAACACCTGTTTGCGTCTGTTTCAAAGCGGTTGGAATGAAGAGTTAAACTGAGGTGTGGCTGCTACCCCACACATACACACAAACAAACACTCACTTTAACCACAAATCACACACACACACACACACACACACACACACACACACACACACACACACACACACACACACACACACACACACACACACACACTCACACTGTATCCATAATCTCATGCAAGGGTGCAGAGGAAAGAGTTCTGTCTGTATAATTACTCGTCTAATGCTGGCAAGTACAAATGTGCCCGGATTTCCAGTCACAAGTTAATCATTAACAGACAAAGCTGTGAGGAAAATTCCAGTAATTTTACTAACATCCAAATAATGCTTAAAATAAATACAATAAATGGTTTGTTGACAGTTGACTGAACCTGTAATTTTAACAGCTCCACATATTTCATAACATTTTTGTTCACTGACACAAATCCTCCAAGTTCACACATCTTAAAATTCCATATGAAAGCACTGTGAGGTTTCAGTGTGTTCTGATCAGGGAGTATTATAGAGGGTTTTAAGAGTTGAACATATTATTGTCTTCCTGATACGGCACATATAGCATACAATACAAATTAACAGTAGAGAAAAACATTGTCATATAATATTATTGCTGTCCAGTAAAAGTCATCCATCCCCAAAATATCAACTCCTTGTTCTTAGTTTTGTGGCAGTTCTACAGATTATTCAATTAGGGTTAAAAAAAACTCAATCATTTTACCTTAAAACCATAATAATCACCAAATATGGATTTATATGGTTTTCATAGAACTGAGACGTGCTCACAACTCACATTTGGGCATTTTATTTTTTTTGGCATAATAGATTTTAATTAATCTTATTTCATTTTCTTTCTTTTTCTCAGCTTAAATGTCTGATCTTTCAATTATTTTGAATTTGGCAAATCTGTATAATGAAACAGTGAATCTGTACTCTCCATGCATATTCTCTCCTGACAGTGCAAACAGGTTTATGTGATGGGCATAATATCTCATTCTATTTAACTGCACCAATTGCAGACTCTCATTTCCATTCTTTTTTTAAATGTATATCTTAATGTGTGCAATCATTTAATTTCTCATGCAGATTTAGATTTAAATACAAGATTATACATGTAGCTCATGACTTTAGGGTACAGTATAAGGGAACTATTGCTGAGTTGATCATTAAAATGTCTTAACGTGATAACTCTGACTGAGAGCAGCGGCCTATTAACCACTGAGCTTTCTGCACAGTCGGAACAAGCTGAGCTCAGCAGGAGGAGGTCACTCCCCTCTGAGTCCAGACTATCCACTGAGAGAGGCTGAGCTAGTGGCTCAGTAAAGGCACTTAGGGCCCCGTTTTAACTGTTAATCATAGAGGGAGTGAGGGAGGGAGAGCACAGTAATGATGCAGAGATTTAGAGAGCAAAGGGGAGGATGGATGGATGGATGGATGGATGAGATAAATGGTTGATGAACTAAAAGAATAAAAGATATAACCAGGAAGGTTAGACAACAGTGACGTTGTGTTTACCATCAATAGAGGAGCTGGGGGTGGAAAATGAAAAGAGGGAACGGGGAAAAAAAGCCCTGTTCCTATGATCAGAAGACTGATTGACAGAAAGGAAGTGCCTGATAGGAGGGAGCAAAAGTGTAGCCAGCGGTAAAATGGATAGAGAGAGGACTGAAGGATAAAGAGATGTGGAGGGGGCATTTGTGCTGGACAAAGAAGATTTCTGTCAATGAATGGTGTCTGGTTTCGAGCGTGTGTGTGTGTGTGTGTGTGTGTGTGTGTGTGTGTGTGTGTGTGTGTGTGTGTGTGTGTGTTGATGGGGGGCAAAAACAGTCGGGTCGAGAAAGACAGACAGGCCATGCTGGTGATGGTGGTCTGTATGTATGTATCCAATAAAGAGGACGGGAAGGAATCCGATATGCTGCAGTGCATCATCAGAAGCCTGTTTGTATTCGTTTCTTAGGCACTTCATTCACAGATATCAGCCCAATATATTGGTATTTTTAACCACGACTACACAAGTTTAAGAAAAAAGATCAAAGTTAATGCAGCACAATCTGAGATACTGTCTTTGTTATTTCACACATTCCTCTTCCTTGTCAAAACTTGTTCGGTTGGATAATCGGGTGTGATAAGCTAGTAGCGGCTAATGTAGCCTCGAGCTGCTAACCTCCGGCAGATATTGTACGAGGAGTGGGCTAGAGAGGTCTGGTAATCTCACTTCTTACTAAACCCTTTGGATTTTTTCCATTCTCCAAATTTAGCTGCAACTGAGGCTGACCCAAGTGACATCACTTGAGGCAATTTATCAGGCTTCATGCAGCTCCTCTGGCTCCAGATGCCTTTATATGACCTACATAAACAAACAAAACCATCAGCGAGAAGATTGGCTTGTTATAATTATTCATAATGCCTGCCACATGGGACTGATTACCATGAATCAGACAAGATGAGGCATTGGAAACATTTTTGTCTACAGGAGCTGTAGAATTCCCCTATATAAATTCCCCCTATAACAGAAGTCAGTACAGGTAGGAGGGCGAAGCTATGAAAAGAGGAGTATAGTTTGGCAACCTGTAAGTAAGTTGTGCTGTGCTGAGTGAGCTGAAGGCACCTGGAAGTCACTAAACAAGAGCACACGGCTCATTGAACCCAGCAAGAGGAGGCTTCTCTGACCTGGCAGTGAAAGTATAAAGCTGGTTAAGAATTAATGGTAACAAATTAGCAACAATAAGACAATCAGGTAGTTATGACAGTGAATGCATACCACTTAAAAATACCACACACAAAACAAATGTATTCACCACGTGTCACATGTCAAAGAAAACTGGCACAGGGAAGTAGCTAACCCTGCAGGGCAACATCTTTCCTGTTAGGCTCCAGAGTAATATTACACAAACATTGCCGTAAGACTTATTTTTAGTGAAAAAAAATCAATGGCTTTACAGGGCAAGGATTAAGAATGATGGACATCCAACATAATACATTAATAGGATGTGCAGTGTATTGGTGTTGCCATAAAGTACTTATCACATCCTCAAAATTCCTCCAGCTAAAAGCCCCACAGCAGCTCATGCATCCATCTAAATAAGCTTTCATTAAAAATGTTTTCGCCTCGCATTCAGTTTCCCTCCTGAGGTATTTAGAGCCCTTGGAAGCCAACAGGATGATTTCCTGTTGATGATGTGAGTAACTGTAAGTAAGTGACAGGCGAGGGTAGGTTTCCACATCCGCGGTGAGGAGTGAACATCTCTGTTCAGCGTTAATGGTTGGAGGAAAGTGGGCAGGACTGGATGGACAAACTTGCTCTTTGCCTCGTTAATGGCTCCCTGGGGAGGAGGGGGAAATGACCGAGTGATGGGGGGTGTAAAGCATGTGTGGGTGTGTGGGTGTGCTTGTTGATTTGTGTTTGCAGCGGGAGAGACATTTATGTTTGTATTGACTATGGCAGATATAAGCGAAAAAGTGATAGGGGGTTTAAGATAGATGATCAGTCTTGGTGTCATATTTGTAGCCCTTTTTAAATCCTGCATAGCATTTTCTAATCATATCTTCACACTCAAAATAACCTGATCTGCAGGGTATCGAAGAGCTCTCCATCTGCTGCGACTGATGGTGGGGCAGCCTTTGGCCTGGAGCAGTTTATCTCCAACGGATGCTATTTTAAAGTCTTTGAGTAAAAAATCTGCTTTAATTCAATTAGATATGACGTTTCTTCTTGAAATGTGATTGTTAGACTGATGCTGCTGTGGTGAGTGTGCTTGGATGTTATGAGAGTACTCCACGAATGTAGTATTGCACTCCCATAACATTACCGGGCTCACAATGGACAGTTTTAAACATGATTGGTGATTCAGGTGTGTAATTGGCTAATGTAGCCTCAGACCTCTAGCCTTAAACAGGGATGAGAAGTAGGTTTAAAGCTGCACTTATCAGTAATTTTATACTAACAATTGATTAATTGAATAAAGAAAAGAAATGTGAAAGACACACATCTATATATATATATATATATATATATATATATATATATATATTATTGTATAACCAGAGAAAATGATCACTTAACTTTGCAGTTCCCTAACAGCTCGGAGAAGCTTTTTAGCTTCTTTCAGCTCATTTATTTACAACAACTTTACTGTTTTGGTTCATTCTCACAGCTCTCATCAGTGTCGGCTTGCAACTTGAAACTCGCTGTACTCAGTGCTCAACACCAAAGTGAAGGCAAAATTAGCGACTAGCTTGTGTGGAGCATTTGGCAGCTAAAGCACCAGATATTTCCCTCAGGAGATGGTAGACACCAAAAACATAGCTAAAAAGAGAGTGAATACTGGGCTTACATTTGTCTCATGGCCAGAAACACGACTCCAAATGAATACTATTCATGCTCCATGACTGTTGAATGTGTAAATAGATGACTGTTTGCTAACATATGTCAGTGGCGTGTTTACAGCTTGTTTCCACTGGCTCCAACTGACTAAAACTGACCCTTTAATATCTTCGGTGTAGAGTAAATGCCTGTTGCAGTGTTGCTTTGTTTTCACATATTCCAGGAAGCTCATGTAATTTCTCTCCTTGCCTGTTTATCCTTCACAGTTACCTACAGTTCAGTGATTCCCACGACATACTCCATGGGCCCCTATGATATAACTTCAGATGAAAGCACCCCACCAGAGGGCTTGACAGAGAGCACCACAACCACCACCACTAATGGTGATTCCCAGCAGCGGCTCTACGATGGTCTGAACGACAAACTCATACCCATCTACTGCTCCATTCTGGCAGCAGTAGTGGTTGGCCTTGTGGCCTTCATCATCTTCAAGAGGTGAGGACTTAAACCAGTTGAAGTATGAAACCAAATTTAAAGGAGACACTACAAAAAGTTATTATAATGATTATTAATTATTTTTAAAAATGTGGAATTTAATGGCTAAGGGGGGAGAGAAAAGGGGTCTGATGCTAATTACAGAGGCATATGGACAACAAAATCCAGTCAGATTTAGAATTTCCGCATTTTAATTTTTAATGAAATCATATGCTACTTTTCTGGATGAGAGCACACTGTTGTCATGTGGGCCACAATATGGTCTGTTTACTCTCTTCTCTTATATTTGAAACCCATGCTCCTCTCTTAATGACTACAGAGACAGCCCGCTGTTAACTGTTCAATTTTGAATGTACAATATGTTCATGTTGTATGGCAAGGAAAATAGATAGATAGATAGATAGATAGATAGATAGATAGATATACTTTATTGATCCCAAGCTGGGAAATTGCTGTGTTGCAAGTCTGTACATTCAGACAGTTAACTGCAGCTGCCTTGTTGAATAATAGAGGATGTTTTACCCACCAGTCACCACTCTGATTTGATTATTAATAATTAGTTAGAATTTCTTATTCCACACGTGGCTAATGGTCTTTTAAAGGCAACGTCATTGTGGGTGGATGTTGGATAATGTTTTTTTAAAAATCATCTCCTTTTAACTAGTCGGCACAAATTCTAATTGATCACATGTTTTGCTGCACTACAAACATGTGCCATGGTTAGAATTGATTCTTTTTGTATGCTCAATTAAAAGTGTCTAGCTTTAGGATTTGGAATTTTGTAAATAAACACTGTCCTTCAAAATTACCATATATGTGGTCCAGTATGTAGAGTTTATTTACGGAAAGGGAACATAGGTATGTTTTCCTTTGTGTAGAATCACCTAGGAATAAGAATAATTCTGTTTCTGTTACTTTAGAATGAGCCGTTTTTTTATCTACAGACATAACGGGGTGCCTTCCATGAAGGCCCTAGTTTCTCCCTTGCGCCTGAAAAGGGAGGGTGAGGCGAATCTGCAACTACTCCAGTAGATGCCACCAAATCCTACACACTGGACCTTTAAAGCAGTGTAAATAATCAATATATTAATAATGGATCAAATTAAGTCATAAAAAAGCCATTAAAAATCCCCCATAGTACACTATCTACCCAGCGCCAAACGACAAATAAAAAAAGTTAGCGACTAGCTGGTGAACACAGTGGAGCTTTAAGCTTATGAATTATGTATTATTATCATTGGTACTGAAGATTTCTAGAAACACATAATGTACATACACTATTGTCGATTTCCTGCCTTTTTGCTGAGTGGATTTTTTTCTTCTTTTATGACTCATGTTTTTTCAGGTGGAACAGCTGTAAGCAGAACAAGCAAGGGGCCAACAACTGCACAGCCAATCAGAACCAGACGCCGTCACCTGAGGGAGAGAAGCTGCACAGTGACAGCGGCATTTCTGTGGACAGCCGAAGTCTGCAGGAGCAGCTGGCCCAGGCACAGACAGGTAACAGACTAATACCTGTACCTAAACAGAGGCCACTCCCTCAACTCCAAGAAATACAATAACCCTTATTTATCAATGTATTGCACTTAAATTGGGCGTAAGCTAATTTCAACACAAAAGTCTGTGTTTATTTGGTGCTGAATTCCTCTGGTAATGAGTTTCTTTTCATCCACAAGTAAGACTGAAGGAATTTAGTCTTACTGTGAATGTACACAGACTGCACCCTGAACTGTCCCACCACGAAAGAAAAGGAAATCCACCTGCGGAATGGGCCGTCTGGTGGCTTCATCAACTCCACCTTAAATATGACCTTTCAAACTTACTGAAGCAAATCAGCAAACAGGGTTACAACACTGACAGAGCTACAGTGTTTGTTTTTTTGGCAGCAAGTGCTCCTGGCAGCTTTTAGTCTTGCCCTGACAAACCAGTTTGAGCGACTACAGGTCTTTTAAAACTACATGCTTGCCCAGATAATGGTAAAGCAAGAATGTAAAGTGGTGCAAGCAAAAGAACACAGTATTGGGCAGCTTTCTGTCTAGGTCTGAACCATATCTTAAAGTGGTTACAGGTGGGATGTGATGGGATTTTGGCAGTGTGGCCAAAGAAGCATCTTTTTCTTAGATTTTCTGGTTAGCTATTGCAGGTACACAGTGCTTTTTTATTCACTACAAACAAACCATTTTGGCTGCTGTAGGAAATTAACACTCTATCACTTCATTTTACAAGTAAATACAGCCAATTGCAAAGCTCATGAACAGGATAAATGTAATTATACTTAGATTTAATGACTGAGAAATTAACCACAGCTAAATCACACCTAAAATCGAATAATATAATTCAGATAATGAAATGACATTAACTTCTTTCCCCTCTGCAGTTGTCACCATGGATGAGGAGCCTTGTTTGCTCCTTCCTCTCCACACCAGAGAGAAAGTGGAGAAGCTGCTGTTCAGGGGCAGCGAAGGAGACGACTGCAACCACATGGACGACAGCGACTGGTGCAACCTGGCGGGCCTCCTGGGATACGAGGAGGAGCGGATCGCGACCTTCCGGCAGGAAGAGCATCCTGTCCGCGCGCTCCTGTCTGACTGGGCGAGCAAGGACTGTGCCAGCATCGACGCGCTGTGCACGGCGCTGCGCAAGATCAACCGTGACGACATCGCCCAGAGTCTGGTGTTAAGCCCAAATGCTCCAAAGCCGACCGCCACTTCTGTAGTGTGATATAAGCTTAACAGCGAGAAAACCACCTGAACCTTAACCTTAATATTCTTCCATGGCCTCCCTCACTCCACCCAATTCATGCTACAGCAGCTTTTTCCAAATGAAGCCAGCAGTCACAGTGATAATCAAATTTCATGAACCCTGAAGAATTATTTCATGTTTAATCAAGGGATAATGCAGGAAGATGCCAGAAATTAAACAAAAACTGACTGAATATTAAAGTACTTAATCAAATCAGTTCCTTTCACTTAACCATCAGGATATGCTCATAATCAAAAGATTAAAAACCTCACATTGTAAAGCCTATGTGGAGGGAAATAGTCTATAACCATTCCATTTTGAGCCTGGATATGCATCTGCCTTTCCACACTATCTGAAATCCAGCTTAACATCTTCTGACTTTATTAGCCACCATGGAGCAGCAGGGCGCTTTGAACTGAATCTACAGTGGATAGCTGGCTCTCTCATTCCTGCGACTTGATCCTTTGACTCTTTATTCTTAAACACACATAGTCAGCGTGTCCCTTACTTATACCGTTCATAAGCCAGTGCTGTATCTCTATTTGTTGCTTTACAAATCAATGCTACCAAAGAGGAGTAAATGTCTTGAGACCATACCTGACAAGCAACATTATTTATCTGCCATGTTAGATTTTGGGGGATTTAAGTTGTCAAATGGCTTGTGTCTCAATGATGCATACCACAGTGTATCTGGATTATGCAAATATGACAACCTGAAGAAAGATGCTTGGACGCATTTCAAATGAACCTGTTCTCCTTCAGCAAAAAAAGAAAGCTAAGTCGAGCTATTTACTCTTATTTTAATTACTTGTATTAGATTTATGACATTGAGCTGCAGCACATGTGGAATTAATCTCAACTTCAGCTTTGTGAGTGATTTCTGCAGACTCTTCCTTTTTCCGACAAGTGCTATAAGAACTGCCGGCTGGACTCTATGGAGAAGGTCATTGACCGTGGCAACATGAGACACTATTCTATGTGCTCAGGCCTATCTGCATAACACAGGAGCTCCCACACAGACTCCTTCATACTGACCCAGAAAATTGAAGGACGTGGAACTCAAATCACCCAGCAATGACTATGTATACTCTATAGACACTGCACACACTAAATAGAGATATACTGTAGATACATACACACGTAGACTTTCAGTATGTAACCATGCATGCATGTACTACACACATACACACACTCATCATGTATACATTTACATTCTCATTCATTGTAGGAGAAAGAAAACTTCAGATCCTGCCATATACTGTGTGGAACACTCTCATGAGGGGACCATATATTGTTTAATCTTATTATTAATAGCCGATATAAGGTCAAATTAAAACCCATATAATTTTTAATGTGTGCTATAGATAATGAAATACTACCTTAACAGTAAACAGCATGCAGAAACTAGCAACTCATTGTCAACCAGTGCACAAATTCCAAAATAAAGCACATGCACATACAGAATAATCAGGATGCAAAACAAAAATCCAGGGTTTTCTATAGTTTTTGCTTAATTTCTCAGGGTATCTTGAATGATTATGTTACTAAATCAATATTACACTTATTATTGCACCCTCTATAATTGAACTGAACAAGGTGTAGTTGTTCAAGAGGAGACACTGTGTTTATCCAAATCAGTGATTTCAGAAATCAGAGTGACTGACAATCCTTCAAACAGGTGAATAAAAGAGGGAAACGGATAAAAGGCAAGTCAGTAGAGACATAAATCAAAGGATATGGGATGGATTCAGACCAAGGGAAAGCAGTTCTGGATTACTTAAATGTAAAGGTAAAACCCAGGAATCTGCATTTGCATTAATCAGCTTGTTTAAGTAAAATCATGCATTCCTCTCCTTGTGCCGGTATGTGCTTTTTACATTGTGTTGTGTTACATCTATTTGGTTTGAATTTTGTCAGAGCATACTTCGAAAATGCTGCCAACTGAGGACCCCTAGCAACTATTTGTTTTCCTTCCGTTTGTTCACTGTCTGTCTGTTTTTTTCTTTTTTGGGGGGGGGGGATATTTGAAGGAGGAAATAGTTTACTATACTAATCTTACTTATATCACCAACTTCATTTGTTATTCTTGATTGTACATTGATACTAACCGCTAGCATACTGAGTTTCATGCTGTAGTATTACTTTAAATGAAGGTATTCTCACTCCCACTCTGTAAGGGTTGTTGCATTTTAATTCCCAAATAACAACTGTAAATGGTATTATAATTCTCTTATTGTCCTGGATTGTAGCACTTAAATGTGTAATTATGTATGTCTGTTTTGCATCACAAGTGCCTGGGAACTATTTCAGGTGTCCACTGATGTTGTACATTTTAGTTTTTAGCCGTTTTTGTAAGTATATCTCCTTTAGTTGTTGTTGTTTTTTTACTTGTAAATAATTTGTCTTTTTCTAGTTTTTATTTTAGTTAAAGCCTAGAAGGCGCTACTGTACAATGTCTATGTGAATGGGACATTGTTCCAATATCAATGCTGTCCTAGTTTAAAAGGGTAAGAAGGGCAAAGGGAAGGGAGGTGCCTTTGTGAGGTACTTGGTGCAATTAACAAATTAATCACCATTATGTGTATTATTGTAGTACATCATTAAGACGTGTGGAACCAAAGAAATTTAAATACTTTCAAGGCTAATCAGAACTGGAATGGCTCTGATGGTCCATTTGGAACCGTCAGAAATATTATTTAACATTATTATACACTGATTTGAGTGCCCTGTGCTGTTAGTCAATCTCTTATTAGTATTCAACATTTTGGGAAATACACTTTTTCGCTTTCTTAACGAGAGTTAGATGACAAGAGCAATACCACTCTCATATGTGTGTGTTCAGTATAAAGCTTTAGCCAGCAGCCGGTTAGCTTAGCTTAGCATAAAGACTAGAAACATAGGAAAACAGCTATCTTGGCAAAGGTAGCAAAATCTGCTTACCAGCACCACTAAAATGTACAAATTAGCTTATTATAGCTGGTTTGTTTTATCTGTAAGTTTTGTGGTGTTACCAGACTATTTATGTCTCCAATAACATAAATAGTCCGGTGCTGGTAAGCAGACTTTGTTTAGGCTAGCTGTGTCCTCCTGTTTCCAGACCTAATGCTAAGCTAACTGGTTGCTGGCTGTATATTTATCAGATAGATATAAGAGTGGTATTTTTCTTTAGCCCTCTGCAAAAAAGTAAATAAGCATTTTTCCCAAAATGTCAAAATATTGCTTTAAATTAAAAGACCAATATAAGCAGAAAGGTTTAAAGTCATTTGCAACAGTTAATAGGAATGCTCCTTAATATTATACTCTGTCACATCGATATAGACATAAGTATATAAGTGTCCATAGCATACAACTTGCTTCATACGCACGTTGAGTCATAAATTGAATGAGAGATCCAAGTTCCCAATTGTCCTGAATATGTAGGCTGGACCTGATCTGCTGTTTTGATTACAGACAGACTAATTGGAAAGTTATACAAAATAGTCGTCTAAATATGGATTGACAAAACTTGGGCCTCATCTCCATTTTGGATTGTGAAACTTAAGAAAGTGATTTAGTTTTCTATAGATGTGTTCATGATTAGCCATTACTTCAGAATGACCTTCCCTGAATGCCCTTTGTTCATTACTATAGTTTAGTTAACGCTATGTTCAGAGTTTGTCCCCCTGTCAGTAACTGTGACTGAAGATGGAGACTCTTTCCTTGGGCAGTATTTGTTTAGTTTTATAGATATGAGAGATTTAATGGTGACCAGATTTTGAATTGCTTGTACAGTAAATCCAACTGAAGGTGAACATGTCATGACATTGCACTTGAGAGTAACAAACTAGTCATGCAGATGGGGGGAGGGGAGGGGATAAGGTTTGAATAAAAGTCCTGGTAATGTAGCTCATACTAACGAGACTGACGGCGCACCAGGACTGAAATGTACAGATCTGAGAATTGTTCAATGTTCCTTGTGTACTAATACATATACTGTACTATACGTAATGTGAATTTGCAAAATTCCTACATCAGACAAGCAGTAAAATCAATAATAAAGTTCAAGTCCTCTCATCTTCTGTATTGATACAACAATGCACACACAAACCTAAGAGTGCATGTGCGCTCAGTCTTATGAAATTATTAAAACTCAACTAATCATGCTTAGTTTCAGTTTTACTGGAGTTAATTTTTACTTCATACTTTGTATTTGAAAATATCACTTTTTACAATGTCACTTTTTATTTTAATGTTATTCTACTTGACAGTGGTGTTGTCACCCGTCACTACTCTCTCGCTTTACAACAACTGCCAGTTAATTCCTGTTAGCTAGAACAATATCAAAATAATTCTGAATCAACAAGCTGTAAACAAACACACAAACATAGTTACTAACCTTTATTGGGCTTAACAAGCCTAGGCAAGGTTGTGAGGTTGGATTATTACTACTCAAAGGAGTAAGGAAATCAAGTGTTTGCAGTTTTAGGTAGATCCTGTAAGATAGAGTGACCACAGAGAAAGTCTAGCAAGCTACAGCAGCATGTGTACCCTTGCTAAGCTAAATAAAAGGTGCAGTGTATTTATTTACAGCAGAAGTGTCTGGATTACTTTGACATTGCTGGTCTAGTATATACGAGATACAAGAGACATAATGAAAAGTGAGAAGTGAAATAAAAAATTAGAATGGGATGATGAAATCAAATTTCAGAATAATACAGTGAGTTTTAATAATTTCTTAAATTATTTTAAACGTATATGTTCTTATGTGTGTGTTATACAATTGATTCATTGGATGGTTTATTTAACTTTTTTTTATTTATTTACATTTTTTTTACATTTATTGTACACTTTGGGAGCCCATACATATGCATGCTCCAACACAATCACAGTATGGTTTATGGTTTGGTCTTGAAACAGCCCTGGATGATTTTGCATTTTGCTCTCAGGATAGAGAAGGTCTGTGCATTTTCCTCAAGAGCCACTAAAGTCCTTCTGACAAGTAATCCAAGCCAAATAAGACAGACTGATTACTGAAACCTTCAACTGTTGCAGCACAAGGAGAGACTGGAGAAGAAGGGGTCACTGAAAAAGGGCAAACTATGGTGGGCTAGTTCCTCTTTAGTTTCATCAAACTGACTGCATGAATTATGGCATTGCGTGTGGTCAGTGTGGCAAAGGCAACAGAATCCTATAATAATAGATACCAACAGCCTGTCAGCACAATTAGACTTACTCTGGTGAGTGTTATGGCTCGGTAATGATGCGTAAAATGCTAGCACACTGGTTCATATTTTATGTCACTGTGGGCTTAACTCAGTGGTAGTGTTACAAGTGTGAAAATACTGAGGTGGATTAATATACCTTTTGGTTAAAAACTTTTTAGTTTTTGTTTTTTGGAATTCATATAATGCTGAAATAATTCTAATGAATATCCACAGGTCATATATATGTATCAAGATATAAAAAGATTTTATCATAGCAACGCAGTTCAGCAAACATATAAAGAACTATTTAAAATAATAAATATATAACAAAGTAATAGGTTAAGAAAATGACATTACAATAGATGCATTTGCTACATGTTACATGTATAGAAATAATGAGTCTAGTAATGCAACTCCGTAGGCCTTATTGAGGTATACTGATGATTTTTGTAAGAGTAATATTATAGTATGTATATATATGATTAATATAAATAAATATAAAGAAGGTTATAGTTCTGTAGGTATAATACAAAATACAAAGTGTATGAAATTACTCTGTATTGAGGAAGACAAACTTCCTGTCAAGACCTGCTTCACTATGCTCCCAGTCAAATTAAACTTGATGTAAATTAGCAGCAGTCTTTAACCTGCAGACTGACCTGTTTATGCTTATTCAGATCAAAAATGGCATCAACAAGTTCTGACCCAGTCCCAGTACCCAAGATCAGTTTCCAAGTGAACCATTGTTTAAATGGAAAACACATTCCAGCTAACTGCTGCTAACCTCCAGTGAGTCGTTAGCGAGGAATGTTTGAAGTGTGAAGGGAACCATATGTGCACAAGTGACATGTGGTGGTGAAAGAGGATCGGCCACGTTAAGTTTTGGTGACCAGTTGAGTTTGAATAGAATGAAGAAAAGTTGTCTTCACCAAGCAACTCCAGTCATCGACTCTGTAGAGCCACTTATAATCAGTGTTATTTTGTTAATAGATACTTACATCGTCTCAATCATTTTCTGTAATGATGAAAACCTACTTAAGTTCCTCATAAGTGATTACTTCCTAACATGGTCCATAGCCTACTGAAGACGGAACTTAAAGCTACCTATATTTGGCTGCAAGGAAACATTTAATGTTAAAAACATTAAGCCACCATTATGGAATATAGCTTTAATGTTGACCTTTATTCTGTTGAGAGTGGAGGATGAATGAGAAAAGTTGAAAAACAAAATGCAATATTAAATGATAAATGCAGAAAACTACACTATAAAAGTACAGTAAGCTAAATTAAGAATCAGGTTGACCAAAATAAAGTAATTTTTTTATATTTATTTTTTAGTGTCTTAGTTTGCTTTACATTAAAGAAAAAGGCATTTACAGAAAGAGAAGATAATAACATTATATAATATATATAAAACAAAAGCTCAAATAAAGGTAATTTGCTGAAAGCTGTATAATGAACAAAAAACTGAAAAAGGTATCAATTATACCATTCAATTGTAGGAGTGGGAAAAATATAATATTCCTCCCAGCTGAACAGTTAACATGGCTAATTTACAACATGTTATGGTCAGTTTTATGACTCAGCCACAGAATAACATGCCTATTTACTCTACAAATCACCACTGGGATAAAGTGAGAATGTGGAAACGGGCCTCCCTTAAGACTGTCCTGAATTTTAGGTTGTGAAACCTTCTCCATGAAAAGACCTTTCCACAAGTCTTAACAGCACAACACAAGATAATCTCTGAAAGTTCATCCTTCACATCTCAGAGGAATTAAAATGAAACTGAGACTCCTTCATTGCAAAGTTTGTTTTCTTAGGTGGTAGTTTGAGCAGAACCCAAGAACAAAAGAGAAACCATGCTCAACAGCAAATATAAAAGTACATAAAAAGGAGAATCTGTCTACCAATAACTGTAAAGCTCACTCATTAACACCTTATTCCACATCTCATTGTTTAATCCCTACAGTCCAGTCTAGTGCTAAGTAAAGCTAATTTAGCTGCTGGCTGTAGCCTTAAAAAGGTATGAGTGCGGTATTGATCTCTGACTCTGTTGATCTTACCCTTTTAACAGCAGACCTTTCAACCTATTCGAGTTGTTAAGTGATATTTCTGCAGCTCCAGAAAGGGCCAGAAATGCTGATTGGATTCGGAACTTAAGTGTAACAAACTATACAGTATGTAAAAAACATCAATCACACTCACAATAAATGTTGAAATAATATTGAAATAAATATTCCTTAATAACCAAAAGTATTGAGTATGAAGCTGGTTTCAGGACTGCAAGAAAACAGTTTTAAATACTTAACCTCCATCTTCTAACCTCCATGCTTTTTGCGCCTCATACCATACAAGTTAGCACAGTGTTCTTTAAAAAAGGCAATAATTGAGATAAGGTCAAAGGTCAGAAGCATCTTCATCTTTACGACCAAGAGAGGAGCATTTCTCTGAGAATCTCAGGAGACGCTCACGATGATGTATGACTGACTGTAGCAAGTCTGCAGATCTCTCCAGATGATGGCACACGTGTTCTCTTTGGTCACAGAGGCCTCTAACAGGAGATCAAACACAAGGTTCAGCCTTTGAAAGTAGCAAAATGGTGTTCCAGGGTGAGACAGTAGGGAAGACGTGACTGATCTCCTCTGAAGTCAGAGGTCGGCATCTGACAAGGTAATAGTGGTGGAGCAGGTTTCCCTTGTCCTAGACACAAATAGATGAGATTCTGAGGGTCAATTTCAATTTGAATCGTTTTGTACTTCAATACATTGAAGGCTATACTAATTGGGTTTGAAATTACATCTTCCCAATACTGCAAATGAATTCAGAAACAGTTTTTTTCTCAACACACACTCACTGAGGATTGTGATAATCAGTGTTTGCAGACAAAAAAAATGCGTGGACATTGAGGGGTTCCCTATACTGTCTTTGCTATCATAATTCTTTTTTAATTTTTACTCAGACATAGTTAAAATGGTTATCTGTGGTTAGTGTTTTTGGTCTTGTTGCTACAACTGACCGTGTTTTAGATTTACTTGAGCCAAATATTTGATTTTACTATCCTGTACTGTATCCCATATGACACAATCTCACTCAGTGTTTTCTGCTGTGTTTACACTTTGCTACTCAGAGGGGACCACGCAACCCACCGCTTTTACAAGCTGTCCATCTATAAAAATGAAGTGATGTGGTTTCCCACTCTGTTCTATTATTCTGCTCTTCTTCTTCCTCTCCCACCTGCCTCTGTTTGCTGGAACAGAGAGTGAGTCTCTGCCAGCAACGCACACAATTAAGTGAAGAGTGATGAAATTATATCTTTGGCCCGGGCAAATGGCGGGATGATAGGGATGGAGAGGCAAAGTGGGAAGGAGGGAGAGTCCATTCTGTTTCCCTCTGGGGCCAAGGGAAATTCTATTAGGCCTATAATAGAGCCATTTTTCACCTCCTTCCACATCAGTCTGTTATACAATTCTTCCTCCTGTCCTGTCCTCCCTCCTCTTTTCTCTTTAAAAGATGGCGCAGCCTGATTGAGAGTCTCTCTCTTATTCCTCCTTGGAAAACTTTCTCTGAGCTCCTGCTTCTCTGCTTTTCACCTTATCTGTTCCTTTCTTAGTCACAGTCTTCCTACTTTTATTACTCTGTCATGTGACGTAAATAAGACATAATAGGCCTTACAGAGGCCTCAAACATGGGTTTAAAAAGTCAAAAAATGTACATTCAAATCCAGTTAACTATTTGATAAATCAAATAGATCCAACAGTTAAGGCATTCTTTAGTTGTTGACTAAAAGATTATAAAATGTCTGTGGCCTTAAAGCAGGTAATAAAAGCTTAATGGCAAGAAGGTGGTTCGGAGAGTCACAGCTTTTAT